TCTGATGAGATGTCTTAATCTCAAAAGATAGGAGGGGTGAGCCACTCCTCTAATGTTCCAACACAAAATATTAATCATGGGATCCTTAGCATTCCAAAGAGGAATACTAATCACTGATAGGTGAGAATTGAATGGAAGGTTGAGACCTTGACCTAGTTCTTCCTCTATTATATGTAGAGGTAGAGCCAGAATGAGTCTTAGCCTTTCCATCCTTCTTAGGAGAGTTTGTTCCTTGTAGAAGTTGTTGCACCTCAGAAGTCTACTTTTTCTTTTTCCTGGTTTTCTGAATTTTCCAATCCTCTTCCAAAGCCTGTTGCAAATCAAAGACATCAGCCTCAACAATGCTAGGAGTAGCTTCATTGACCAGGGAACTTTTCATCACATTCTTTTTCCTTATTTTCTGACTATCTTCTCCCAAAGCCTGCTGCACATCAACAACAGCAGCTTCAATAATTCTAGTGTCAGCCTCAGTGATCAAGGGGCTTTTCAGAGCACATTTCCCTTTTCCAGCAAGTGTGGGGGAAGGAGGGGTAATAATACTGACTTCATTAGGTTCTGTCCTCTCCACAAAAACTAGAGAAGTTTCCATTTGGGGTTCTGATAATTCCCCCAATGGATCACCAGAGCGGAAAGTGGCAGGAGGATTTGTGTTCTTAACAAAAGGAGTTTTACTGGTTTTCCTGACATCATCCCTGTGATTAAATGTAGCGATATTATTGCTTTTTTCTTGATTAGAAACCTGACTATCTACCCTTGGATTCATATAGAGTTTTTTAGTAGGGGGTGGAGCCTATAGCATTTCTCAATAGTGTGGCCAAACATTTTACAGTGTTGGCAGTAAAAAGGCTTTTGTTCAACAGTTATATCTTGCCAAAACCCCTCTGCATCATAACCAATCCTTATCCTTTTTATCTCAGGGAGGGTTATGTCTCTTTCCACCTAAATTCTAGCAAGAGTAGGTCTGGCCTTATTGAAAGTAGGAGCATCAACCTTGAGGGGAGTACCTAGTGCTCTCCCTATATTAAAAAGTGCATTAAGCTTGAAGTAAGGTAATGGAAGACCAGGTAGCTTAAACCAAACTGGGACCACAGGAGGCTCCTTAGTGTTCAAGGGCTCTGGGTCAGAGGTTGCAGAGGCATTTTCTTCACTAGTTATGATCTGTATTGCAGATGGTTCAAGGTGACATATTGAAGGGCCAGCAGCCTCCTTGGGTAAATTTTCAGTCACATTCAACAAGTAATGGTCAGGACAATCTATATTTAATTGATTGTCTACTTTTTCAGTCTCAATGGCCACAACAGCCTTGGTGGCCAAGATAGTTTCATTGGGACCATGGGCATTCCTCTCAGAAATGGTTTCACCAAGACACTTATCAGAAATATCCCTTTCTCTCTCAGGCATAGCAGCATCTTTTGAAGCCCCATGATGATGGATCCTTAGGTGAGGATGTAGTTTAAAACATTTGTTGTCAGTGTGCCCAAACATGCAGCAATGGAAACAATAATAGGGTTTCTGTTCAGCAATTATTTTCTGCCAATACCCATTGTGTTCAGTTCCCAACCATATTTCATCCACTGTTGGAAGAGTAAGGTTCCTTTCCACTAAGATTCTTGCTACAAATGGTCTTGATAAATTAAAAGTTGGAACATCCAACTTAAGAGGTTTACCCAAGGCTTGTCCAATGTTAAACAGAACTTTAAGGTTGAAGAAATGGAGCTTTAGTCTAGGGAGCTTGAACCAAGTAGGAACTTTAGGAAGTTCCTTACCTGGATCAAAATCAGTAGACCACTTTAATATTTTCATAGTGTTTCCCTCAATTTGTAAAATTTGTTTAGAAATGACTTTAGCAATATAAATGATTTTAATTTCTTCACAATCCATATAATCATTGTAAACGGGAATGATGCTTTCTTAAATTTGAACTTTTCTTCATACAAAAAATTTATTTAGTTTTCATAATTTTACTTTTGAAGTTTAGCAATTAGTTTAATTAACTTAGTTTTTAAACTGTATTTTATATAGCATTCACTCGTTTACTATAGATTCAAATTTCGTACTTCACTTTTATAGTTTAAAATTGTAGTTTACATTATAATCTTAATAATATACTTATAAGCATTTCCAACTTCCCTGTGGGATCGATATCTAGAACTTCATTAGACCCCTTTATTACTTGAACGATACATATACTGCATTATTTTTAGAAGATTTGGCAGTTTAAAGTTTATTTTTGAAGGATAAAACTATTTTCACTAAAGTTATTTTTGTTGAGATTAAATTGCATAATTACAACTAAATCCGCCCGCACCAAATTTTTGGCGCTGTTGCCGGGAAGTAACGGAAATTATTAGTAAGTTATTTTATAATTTAAATTATTTTATTTTAACTAAAAAATTGTTTGTAGTTTAGTTCAACTATTTCCATATTTTACTGTGTTTGCTTATTTTAATCACTTATTGTGTTTGTTTATGCGTAGTGTAAGATCTGAAAATTTAGTACCTTACGATTCAAATTTAGAAAGAATTTAGAAAGAACTATTAGAGAAAGAACTATTAGAAAAATTAGAAAACAACAATAAGAGATATATCATTTTAGCAAAATGGCTTGCAACTCAAGTAATGCTAGAAATGAAAATGAACATCATCAGAGACCTTTAAGAGATTATGCTAATCAGCAGATGAACTTCACTTGATTATTCAAAATCTTGATGTTGCCGCTAATTCATTTGAGCTTAAATTTTTCATTTTCCAAATAATACAAAATAATCAATTTGGAGGAACACCTACTGAAGATCCTAAGCAACAACTTGCTATTTTTCTAGAATTATGTGCTAATTTTAAATATGATGGAGTGTCAAATGATGCTGTCAGACTTAGACTTTTCCTTTTTCAATAAGGGATAAAGCTAAGATGTGGTTAAACTCGTTAGCACCTGGATCTATCAGTTGGATCTATCAAAACTTAAGGAGACTTATCACAAAAATTTTTATCTAAATATTTATAACCTTTAAAAACTGCTAAACTTAGAAACGATATTACATCTTTTTGTCAGTTTGAAGGGGAATCAATTTATGAAACCTGGGAAAGATTTAAAGATCTTCTTAAAAAGTGTCTACACCATGCATTTCCAGATTGGTTAATAATTCAAACTTTTATAATGAATTGGTTGGTTGGATCTCTTAGATCAATCTTAGATCAATAATTGACACGGCTGTTGGTGGATCATTAATGTCAAAATCATTCTATGAAGCATATCCTTTAATTGAAGAGGTTGCTACTAATAATTTTTAATGACCCTCTAAAAGGGTTCATCCAAAAAGAGTAGCTAGTATTCATCATTTTGATGCAATATCTATGTTAGTTGCCCAAATATCTACTATATCAAAGACGATAGGTCAATAAGGAATGAATTATTCTCAGACATCACCTGTGCTTGAGGAAAACTCATTGGGACAAATTATAGAATATTAATCTTCTTATGAGATTTTAAATGTATTAAATAATCATTCTAATAATCCTTATTCCAATTATTATAGTCCTGGTTGGAAGAATCACCGAATTTTAGTTGAAGTAACAATAATTCTAATGTTGCAAATCTACAATGGGGAAATAACTCTGCGAACCCATTGAGAAACTCCAACAATCAAAGGAATCCAACTTATAAACCTTATTACCCTCTAGGTTTTAATAATTTGTAGAGTAAGGAGAAGAAGTTGTCAATGGAAGAATTGATGGAAGAATTAAGAATTGATATTGCAAATGGGAAGCCAATTACAAAGTCAAGGAGCTGCAATTAGAAACATGAAAAATCCATTGGAATGTATTGCTACTACACTTAGCAATAGACCTCTAGAAACTTTGCCTCGTAATGTTCAAGTAAATCCTAAAGTTTAGAATAAAAAGTAAATTAAGGCTATTCAACTGAGAAGTAAAAAAGAATTGAAAACCAGAGTTAAAAAAGAAGTGGAAGTTGAAGTTAAAAAAGATGAGGTGAAAAATGAAAAATTTGGTAATGATTTTCATTGTAAGTCAGAATGGCCTATTAAATCAATGAAAATCACAGTAGAAAGACCACTACCTCCATTTCCTCAAAGATTGAAGCAGAAAAATAGAGATAGCCAATTTTCAAAATGCCAATTTTGAAAATTTATAGAGATATTGAGGAAATTAACAATAAACATTCCATTGGTTGAAGCCTCAGAATAAATGCCAAGTTATGTGAAGTTCATGAAGGATATACTTAATAAGAAAAGGAAGTTTGTAGATAATGAAACTATTGCACTCAGTGAAGAGTGTAATGCTATAATTCAAAAAAAAGCTTCCTGAAAAACTTAAAGATCCTGGAAGTTTTACTATTCCTTTTACTATTGGCTAAAGATTTTTTTGGAAAAGATTTATATGATTTAGGTGCCAGTATTAATCTTATGCCTTCATCAATTTTCAAAAAGTTGGGTTTAGAAGATATTCCACCTACAACTGTAACTCTTCAGTTAGTTGATCGTTTGATTACCTATCCTAAAGGATTTATAGAAGATGTTTTGGTAAAAGTTGATAAATTTACCTTTCCTATGGATTTTATTGTATTAGATATGGAGGAAGATAAAGAAATTCCTATCATTTTAGGAAGACAACTCTTTACCACTGGAAGAACTTTAATAGATGTGAAAAAAGGAGAACTAACTCTCATAGTTAGTGATGAAGATGTTACATTTAATATTGTAAAATCAATGTGATACCTTGCAAAAGAGAAAAAGATTGAATGCTTCAAAATGTATGTCAATTAATATTTAAGCCATAAATTTTTCAAGAAGACATTTGAAAAGAAATATGAAAAAGAGTATTTAGAATATAAAGATGAGGATAAAATTCAAGTTGAATCTACGAAAGTGAGTAATGAAGATGTGGATTATGTTCAGGAAAAATTTGAAATGTTAGATCCTATAGAAAGTAACAAGAATTTGATTTTATATATTGAGAAACCTCCTGAACTAGAAATGAAAACACTTCCTACACATTTAAAGTATGCATTCTTAAGAGATTTATCCATATTACCTATTATAGTATCCTCAGAGTTAACTGATATGTAAGGACAACAATTGTTAGAAACTTTGAAAGATATAAGAAAGCCTTTGGATCAACATTAGCTAATATTAAAAGAATCAGTCCTTCAATTTGTATGCATAGAATTTTGTTGGAAGGTCAACATACATGAACCAAAAGCAAATCCTTAAAGGAGACTGAATCCTATGACGAAAGAAGTTGTCAAGAAAGATATTTTAAAATGGTTAGATGCCAGAATAATATAACCTATTTTTGACAGTGCTTGGGTGAGTCCAATTCATTGTGTTCAAAAGAAAGGAGGTGTGATTGTTGTGACAAATGAGAATAATGAATTAATACCAACAAGATAAGTCACTGGATGGTAGATCTGCATATATTATAGAAAGTTAAATTTTCCACCATAAAGGATCATTTTCCTTTACCCTTTTTAGACTAAATGTTGGATAGGCTGACTGGGCATAAACATTTTTGTTTTCTAGATGGATATACTAGTTATCATTAAATACCTATTGCTCTAGAGGATTAAGAGAAAACAACATTTAGTAGTACTTATGGAAGGTTTGCATTTATGTGAATGCTCTTTAGATTATGTAATGCACCTGCAACATGACATACAACATTTCAAGATTGTATGATGTCAATTTTCAGTGATTTAATTGAAAAAGTGATTGAAGTCTTTATGGATGATTTTTCTATTTTTGGAACTTCATTTAAAATATGTATAAAACATTTAGAGATTAGAGCAAGTTCTAGAACAATGTGAAAAGTCTAATCAAGTATTAAGCAGAGAAAAATGTCAATTTATGGTTGTAGGAGGAATAGTGCTTGGTTAAAAAAATTTAGAATATAACATGGAAGTAGATCTTGCAAAAATTTAAAAAATTTTAGAATATAACATGGAAGTAGATCTTGCAAAAATACAGGTTATAGCAAACTTACCTCCACGTACTATTGTAATAGGAGTTAAGAGCTTTTTAGGACATTGTCGGCACTATTTTTGGTGTGGGGTTTGCCCGTAAGAAGCTGTCGGTCATCGGAATTGAAATCCCGTTGCCCGCTTCGGAAGGACGCTTTAAAAAATTTAGTTTTGAAAAAGATGAAGTCAAATTGACCCCATAGTTTTCATAGTTTAGATGAAAGAGCACTTTATCTCAAATCATGTATCTATCCCGAAGGATGAACGCAAGAATTGAGAGTGAGGCTCGATCAAATAAACTAAAGAAAGTTATGAAATCC